ATATCCTTTTACCTTACTTACTCAATCTGCATGCTGAGCAAAGAATCAAGAGTCTGGACTGAATCAAAAAGAACATGAGATCAAAGTTGGAGGAAGACTCACTGACAACCTTCAGTAAGCACATGTCACACTTACTTTCTGAAAGTGAAGAGGGTTTGTAGCATCAAAGACTACATATAGCCTTCAATATAGATTACACCTCCACAAAAATCACCACAATTAGACCAGTAAGCTACATAATGATGAGCGGAGGAAAGATTGAAGCTATCAATTGTTTTATTTCACTGGGACCACAATCAATGGCCATGGAAGTAGTAGTCAAGAAATCAAGTAGCATATTGCATGGGGCAAATCTGCTGCAAAAGTGGCATATCACGTCAAGCACTAAGCTGTGCAATATTATATTGAAAATAATATTTTCAATGATCTCATGTGCATGCGGAAGCTGGACAATGAATAAGGAAAACCAAAGAATTGATGCCTTTGAATTATGGTGTCGGTGAAGAATAGTGTCTGTACCGTGTTACTCCAGAACAAACAACTCCTAGAAGAAAGACAGCCAAAATCCTCCTTAGAAATGAGAGACTTCCTTTTATGTGCTTTGGACATGCTATCCAGGAGGAAGCAAGCCCTGGAGAAGAGAGTATCATGTAGGTAAAGTAAATAGGTCAGCAAAACAAAGGTAGACCCTCCTGTTAGTCTGGGTACTTTAGAGAAAAAAAATCCACAGAAACTCATATGTATAAGAGAGAATTTTATATAAAGGTTAAGTGCGCATCAAGAAAACATCCCAACCCAGTGCTGCCCAAGCCCGTAACTCAAACATTAACCCATTAACCCACATGTCCAACACCAATCCACAAAGTTCTTCTCCATCTCACAAACACACACTATGATGCCGACTGCAGGAGGAAAGCTGAATCCGTGAACGTGTAAGCATTTCAGCACTGGCAGGGGTCTCCACACGGCTGCTCCAGCACCCAGGGCTGCATCGGGGTAGGTCCATGCGGCTTCTCCTCAGGGATGTCTTGCAGGAAGTGAGCCTTGCCAGCTGAAGCAGGGAACCGGCTATGGCAGCTGCACCCTCATCCAACCGTCAGAAAGCAAGAGACCCGAGAACTAGAAAGGCGAGGCTCACTGAGCCATTTATCCCTCCGCCCTTCAATTAAGCCCGCATGTGTTTATCAGCCAGGTAGGCACAATAAACTACCTCAACCCTCAACAAGATGGGTTGATAAAGTGGCTGCAACCATAGACTCAAACAAAGTAATGATTGTGAGGATGGCTTAGGACCAAGCATTGTTTCCTTATGTTGAAACCAATTCAATCTACCAACAACAATCACTCATTCACAGCCATTGAGCCAATTCTGACTCTTGGTAACCCTTATAGGGCAGGGAAGGCTGACCTTTGGATTTTCAAGACTTTAATTCTTTATGGAAATAGACAACCTCATCTTTCTCCAATGGAGCACCTGGTGGGTTAGAATTGCTAACCTTGTGATTAGCAGTTCAGTGAGTTACCCACTGCACCACCAGGGTTTCTGCAACAACAACAGTAATCGCATTTGTATCCACTCATAATACCTCTCTGGCCACCCTGACTGGTCCCCACCTCTGGATGGGGACTTAGACAATTTCACACAATGGCTGCAACTAGGTACCACCCTGGACCCTGTGGTGGGAAAACCACTTGTAGCTAATGTTGATCTTTACAAACTTAATAATTAGACATCCCAGATTCTATTAACCTTACAGGGCATAAACACACACACACACACACACACACACACACACACACACACACACACCAGTTAATACATACACAAGGGTAAAACAATGGCCTTCTTCTATACCTAAGAAAGGCAGCATGTGCAGCATGACAACCATGCAAAACACAAACAAGTATGTCTACAAGACTAGAAAATAGACAGGAGTACCCAAGAGGCTGAGGTGTGGATTCAACCATGTGTCACCAACCACTGGGAACATATGAGAGAAGGCTCAGCCAAAGTACAAGAGGCACACCACAGGGCTCCTGGACGGCCCAACTGCTGACCACTAGTTTGTTGAGCGGCGCCCACCTAGCCAAGCCCCCTCCAGGCTGGTGATTATCGGACCCCAGTGACACAAATGACCCTCCCTTTCCATCATGGAAGAGCGTGTAACTAACTGCATTCGGTACTGTCGGGTCTCAAATCCCAGGTACTGCCGAAATGTCCCCCTGGGTTTTTTTGAACTATTAAACTTGGCATGACCAGGAGGCAGGAAGAAGAGGAAATCTCTGGGAATTCCAGAAAGTCCCCGAAGCCCTCTGCTTCCAGCCACTGGGGCGCCGGGAGGCAGGGTCACGGCCAGGGCTGGGGCCGGACTGGAAAGTGGTTCCCAGCCTTTGGCCCAGGGCCGGTTTGCTCGGGACCCGTCTCTAGACTGACTTCTGCAGCCGGCCTGCCCGGGCCGGGGACGCAGCGGCCGCGGCTCCCGCCC